CAGACAACAAAAAGGAAATCAAAGGAGCATCAAAATTGGCAAAGATGATCCAAGCTTTCACTTTTGCAGATTGACATGCTCACATGGAAAACCAACAGACTCCACCAGAGAAATGCTAGAACTCATACATGAATTCAGCAGCAAAATTCATTAGGATACAAAATCAATGTACGCAGAGTCGGTTGCATTTCTTATGCACTAATAATGAGTAGCGGAAGAACAAAATAAAGAGAAACTGATCCCATTCACAATTACCAAGAAGCATAAAATACCTAGGAATAAACCCTAACGAAGATGTAAAATATCTGGCAATAACAGAAAACTGAAAACATGAAGAGCAAATTAGAAGGTAAAAGAAATGGAAAAACATTCCCATGCTTTCATAGTTGGAATAACTCAGAAAATATTGTCAAGAGCTATCAAAATACTACCAAAGTTATCTAAACATCAGTGATCCCCAATCAAAATAGCACCAACATTCTTCTAGAATCTAGAACAAACAATCCCTCCTAAATTCATAATATGGAACCACAAAAGGCCGAATAGCCAAAAGTAATTTTGAAGAGAAGAAAGATCAAAAGCGGGGGAGGCATCCTGATCCCAGACTAGCCTCTACTACAAAGCTGTCATCCATCCAAGACAGCATGGTATTGGCACAAAAACAGACACATAGACCAATGGAATAGGAATAGAAACCCCAGAACTAGACCCACAAGCGTGGCCAACTAATCTTTGAAATAGGAAAAAACATAATGACAAAAATGATCTCTTTAAATGGTGCTGGGAGAACTGGACAGCAACATGCAGAAGGATGAAACTAGACCACTTTCTTACATACATTCTAGAAACAAAACTCCAAAATGGATAAAAGGACCTGAATATTGAGACAAGGGAAACCATCAAAACCTAGAGGAGGAGAAAGCAGGAAAAAAAACCCTCTTGACCTCAGCTGCAGCAATTTCTTATCGACCCTAAAGGCAAAGGGAATTAAAAAGCAAAAGAAAACTATTGGGACCTCATGGCCGAAAAAGCTTCTGCACCAAAAGGCAATCAACAAAACTAAAATCCAATGGAATGGGAAAAAATGTTTGCAAATGATCTATCAGATAAAGGAGCTAGTATCCAAAATCTATAAAAGGCTCACCAAACTCCACCCGAAAAACAAATAATCAATGAAAAAATGGGCAGAAGACATGAATAGACACTTCAAAGAAGACATCCAGATGGTCAACAGGTATATGAAAAGATGCTCAATGTCACTCCCTCATCAGGGAAATACAAATCAAAACCACATTTCAGATACCACCTCACCACCAGTCAAAATGGCTAAAATGAACAAATCAGGAGACTATAGATGCTGGAGGATGTGGAGAAAAACTTGAGAACCCTCTTGTACTGTTAGGTAGAATGCAAACTGGTGCAGCTTCACTTTGGAAAGCTCACAGTGTGAGACAAAAAATTAAAAATGATCTACCTATGACAGCAATAGCACTACTGGGTAGGAGGATACAGAGTGCTGAGGCATAAGGGGCGCAGCTACCAATGTTTTATAGCAGCACTCTCAGCAATAGCCCATTATGGGAAAGAACCTAAATGTCCATATTTGATGAATGGATGAAATTGTGAGTTTATATACACAATGGAATACTAAATGGCAATGAAAGATAAGAAATCAGCCTTTTAACATGGCGATGAATGGAACTGGAGAGGAAGTGTTATGCTAAGTGAAATAGTCCATACAGAAAGAGAACCAGATACCATGTTTTCACTTTCTTATGTGGATCTGAGAAACAATACAGAAGACCATGGGGAGGGGAGGGAAGAAACTAAAATAAGGTTAAAGGGGGGGGAGAGGAACCAAAATTATAAACTCTTAAAACTGAGAACAGAGCCTGGGTGCAGTCTAGGTTAGCATACGACTTCCAGCCCCAGATCATGATCTCACAGGTCAGTAGGTTCCAGACCCCCGCATCAGGCTCTGGGCTGATGGCTCCAGGAGCCTGGGAGCCTGTTTCCCGATTCTGTGTCCTCCCTCTGTCTCTGCCCCTCCCCCGTTCATGCTCTGTCTCTCTCTGTCCCCGAAATAAATAAAAGCAAAAAATTAAAAAAAAGAACTGGGGGCTCAAACTGGGGTTGATGGGGGTGGTGGGAGGAGGAGGGTGGGTGATGGGTATTAGGGAGGGCACCTGTTGGGATGAGCACTACAGGTGTTGTATGCGACCAGTTGACAAATGGAAATTTCATATTAAAAATAAATAGATAAATAAATAAATAAATAAATAATACTTAAATGGGGAAAAATAAAATATAAAGAATACATCAAAGGCATATAAAAATGATTTTCTTTCTATATTATATCTAAAGTGTCTATAAGATTCGAATAGATGAAATAACTTGTTTAAAGAAAAAAAATAAAAAATAAAAGAGCAAACAAAGTTTCTCATAGGTTCCTCAACTGCAAATTCTCTGAGATTTTTATGCCTGAGGTAGAAGTTTCTGAAGATGAGTATCTTGACCTATTTCAACCACCATGACCTCCGAACTTTGTTCTGAACAAGCTGTGGAGCAGTATTAGAAAATCTAAGCAGTTAAAAAATTTTTTTTCTACATTTTTCAGAGAGAGAGAGAGAGAGAATGAGCAGGGGAGGGGCAGAGAGAGAGGGAGAGAGTCCCAAGCAGGCCCTGCGCTGTCAGTGCAGAGCTTGACCATGAACCATGAGATAATGACCTGAGCCAAAGACAAGAATCAGACAATTAACTGACTAAGCCACCCAGGAGCCCCTAAGCAGTGTTTAATTGATAAAATCTGATACTTGACATTTAAAGCACAGCAACTGGAAAATCTGTGAAGTAAGTTAAATTGATATAGTAACTGAGTGTGGAATTTAGAACTAAAAGGAACCTAAGAATGTATTTTAGGGCTCTTTGCCAATGTTCAGGAAAGACTCCTTTCTCCTTGCTAGGCCCCCAAATAGTTGATAGATTATTTTTATAAGGCACAAAAAGTTTAGAACTTGGAAAAGCAGATATCAGAATAGTTTTTCAATAATGTCCCTTTTATTTTGGAGGTAATAAGTAATAAGCGGATACTATCTAAACAGGTTTGTTAGCTCTCTACTAGTGAGGTTTCTTTCTATAAGCCAATTCATATATCCCAGGAGAATCTCCATGGCTCCCCACTCCACCCTGTCAAGAAGGCTTACAAAGTCAAGTTGTGTATACAACCTGCTCACTGCATCTCTCCTCATCAGTAACCTGCCTTCCTCTTTTATATCCCAAACAATTCATAGTAATGACACCTAATTATAACTTGTCCTTTTGAATTTGGGGTGCCGAAAGGCAGGCTTCTTCTACTTTCTAGTAAAAATATTAACAGGCATCCAAAACTTCTCATAGCATAGCTCATGATATGAAAGCTTCAGACCAGCTCATGCATTCATTTTCTCTCCTTGTATAGATTTTTCTCTTCTTACAGAACTTATGTAGATTATTTCTTTGGTACCAAATGTCCCAAGCCCTGTAACACCGTGTGTTCTTAGATGCCATTTGTCCAATCCATCTTCTTTCCCAATGAAGGAAGAATAGTTACTGGGCAAATGATCTGGAAGCACATTCACCTGCAAGTCAGGGTTGCTTAAAGACCAGGCTAGCACACCTTCTAAACTAACACTGGAATCACCTTCACAGCATCCTCCACAGATGTTTGATTATGGAGCTTCTGCCTGAACCCCTGGAATGAGCAAGCCAGGGAGAGAGGAGCTCTCTCCGTACTTCCAAAGTGTCTCTTCACCTTAAAGTATTATGTTGAGCCCTCTACTATAATGATTCTTCCGTTGTCGTAGCTTTGTTTCTGGAGTCTGCCAAGAAAATATCCTCTCTTTATGTCCATTTCCATACACTGTGACCTGTGTCCTTTTTTCCCCCTTATACAGACCCTTTTTAAGCCCTTTTTTTAAAACTCTACATTCTCAGGAAGTGGTGTCAGCATTGAAGAGGTTTCACATATCAGTTACTAGAATCATATTAGCTTTAAAGGAAATGAAATTACTCCTGCAACTGCAGAGACTAAGAGGAAAATTAAGTTTGTGATGACTTCCAGCTTGAAGCAAATTCATTTACACACACATGCACACACTGCCCTACTATCTATCACTGCTCTGATTTCATCTGTGACCTAGTTTGTGGCTTCCAAAACTTTACACTGCTGTGGGAAGCTCATTCTTAAAGATATTTAGCTTTCTTACATTATACTTTATATAAAACTTTGGCTATATGTGAGGCTTCCCATTTATCTCAATATCTCATCAACACTGATTTTTTTTAATTAAAAATTTTCACTTGGCAGTCAAGAATTTTGAAACAATAAGATACACATGATACCGAAAATGGGTAATGAAAAATCTTAGTTGAAATGTATTTAATCCACCAGTTCCTCACTCCCATGGATTCAGACTGTGAACTGAGAGAAAAATCCCAATCACATGCAATTGTTTGCCATTTCATTGAATTTTGCATATTACCCACTGCGAATGAGGGGCAATTATTTTAAATAATTTTTTATTACACACAAAATTGGAAGGTGCTCCACTTACTAATTAAAAATCATCCCTTGATTTTTTTTAAATCATCTTTTGATTTAAAAGCCAATGTATCCAGAAGAAGTTCTGAACTGATTTTTATACATTTTATCTGCAACCTGAAGACCAGGATTATAGTCTACTATAGTAGCAATGGGATATTTTAAAGACAAGCCATGACAGTCAAGTGTCATTCAACTGACTTGTTAGAAGTATCCACTCTCACGTCCCTTGTTGCTCATAGTTTCATAGGATTCCAACCTTAGGGAAAACTACCACACATTTCTTCCTGAAAACACACTCTGAAGACACCCCATGCCTTTTTCCTTGCTAACAATAACCTGCAGTGGCATTGTTTGTAATGAAGGGACAAGAAACCTCAGCAGAATGTCTGACGTGTACATACATGTTTTTATTTAACAGAAAAGATGACTCCACAGGCTGAGTGTTCTGCACCCGAGACCCTAGCTCAGGAAGAAGAGCATCAGATGCAGAGAATGATGGCAAAGCGTTCGAAAATCATCAAGGAGCTGATTCAGACGGAAAAAGACTACCTCAATGATCTAGAGCTGTGCATTAGGGAAGTGGTTCAGCCCTTGAGAAATAAACAGGTAAATGCGACTTTGAGGGTCTCCCCCCCACCACCATATCCTAAATAAGATGACCAGCACCATGAAATCCAATCACCCAAGTGGTAGTATCTGCTGCAGGGCGGGTGGAGTGATGGGCCTTTTTCCTGGAGTCCCCGGTTTGGGGTGATCCCGGGTGTCATCAGACTCACACTTCTTGTGTCAGCAGAGGGATACCCAGATTCCCTCCATTTGGCCAGGGAAACTGTATTCTAAAATATGGGGGAAAGGAAGTTCATGGTTTCCATCATTTTGAAATTTCTTTGTGTTCTTTCTTGGATTCTCATGGAACTGATAACAAAATGTGAGCAAATAGGTTTCCAGTTCAGGAACCAAGCACTTGATCTGATTCAAAGATGATCCAGGATTTGAAAGAAAAAAATATTGTGTCCCTCCCTCCCCCCATACATTGAGAGCTCAAATAAACTTATGATTATTCAGCAAAGTAAAATTCAACATAGAAACCAACCTGAATGTAAGGTAACACTTGAAGTGTTTATAAGTTAATCATTCTCCTCCTTTTTAATCAAAGCCTTTTCAGGGTATTTCTTGTAAGGAATTAGAGTATAGGTACAAAGATATTTGATTCATATATAGGTGCATGTATACACACACACAATTTGCATGAACATAAACTCACACATATATCTGGCTCTTTTCATCCATTCAACACATTTATTAAGTTCCTGATGTGTACTCGGCACTGTTCCCAGCACTGGGGTTACAGTTCAGTACAAAACAAAGTTCTGCCCTTATGGGGTTTGCTTTCTAGTGGGGGAGAGGAAGAGTCAGACAATCAATAATAGATGAATGAACGAATGAGTAAATAAATAAATACAAATTAAGATATAATAGATGGCGTTAAGTATAACAGAGAGAACTAATGTTGGGACGAGGGATGGGGCATGGGCACAGAGGGGTGATGTTTCTATTTCAAACACCATCGTAAACGTAGACCTTTCCAATGGGGGACGTTACAGCAAAGAATTGAAAGGGGAAAAGGTGCTCCAGGCTGAGGGAGAACAAGAGCAAAGCAGAGATAACCTGAGGAGTGATAACCTGATCACTGAGGGGGATACATGTCCTCACACACAATCGAACTGATATACAAAAGAATAAACTACCAAGTAAAGATGATCAGAATTCCACTACTTAAAGATAATCACTATTCACATGGTTGGGAACATCCTTGCAGGCATCAGTTGGGACATTTACACACACACACACACAATGACACATATATTTTTACATAAATGTAACAAAAACTACACATGCTATTTTATAGCATACTTGTCTCATTCAGCAATCTGTTTGATGTTTCTGGCCATGACTACTGATACTTATACATGTTTTTCTACTGTTACTGATGCTGAGACACACTTATGTTTTGGGTGTGGTCACCTTATCTCCTTAGAATAAATTCCTAGAAGTGGAATTGCTAGATCAAAGGGTATACGCACGTAGCATTTTAACAAAAAATTTTCCAGCTGACAACCAAAAAGTTCACACCATTCTCATTTTTGTTTTCATTAACAGTGCTTGAGAAGTCAGAATACCTTTTTATATATTCATTAGCCCTTTGTATTTTCTTCAATCCCTATTCATATTCATGTCTCTTGCCCTTTTAAAAAAATATATGGTTTGTCTTTTTCTTATTGTTTTACAAAATCTCTTTATATATTAGAGATGTTCTTTTTTCATCCTGCATGTTACAACTAATTTTCTCAGTTTGTCTTTTGCCTTCTAACCTGTTTAAGGTTAAAAAGTTAAAACCTTGTTTAAGGTTTATTCATTTGATTTTGCCATGTTTAAGTGATCGAATATATTTAACTTTATGGATTCTGGGCTTGGCATCTTAACATGTACCCCATGATTATAAAAATATTGCCAGCCAGTTGTCTCAACTTCAGTTATTACATCTTTCACCCAGTACTTACAATATGCAGAAGCAGAGTTTATGTTTCTTTTTCTTTCTAAAATTTTTTAATGTTTTTTTAATTTATTTTTGAGACAGAGAGACAGAGCATGAGCAGGGGAGGGGCAGAGAGAGAGAGGGAGACACAGAATCCGAAGCAGTCTCCAGGCTCTGAGCTGTCAACACAAAGCCCAACATGGGGCTCGAACCCACAAACCGTGAGATCATGACCTGAGCCAAAGCGGCCCCAGAATTTATGTTTCTTAACATAAGACTCCTCCAAGAAATACTAGAAAAAAATATCTGGTCTAGAAATTAGGAAAAAGCAGTGCAGATCAAGGTGACCTTAGATATAGAAGTTGGGTTTTGTTTTGATTTAAGACAATGTATGAAGAAGGAATTTTTCCTTCATAGGAAGTTACCTTTAGTTTTACTCCCTCCTGGTTTTCAATAGGTACTTAGTATCTGTCAGGCCCTGTTCCAAAGGCCTCATTTGTATGCTCATTTAATCCTCTCACAGTTCTCACGTTGGAAGGTAACTGGTGGCTGTCTGAATCTGGAAATTTCTTATTTATTCTGTAAGAGTAGGAACAACAAAAATGGTCATGATAAACAGTCGTTCTCTAGTTACATTGCTAACTCTATAAAAATATTTTTGAAGTTTTTTTTTCTTTTAATATAAACTAGCTGTGTCTCCTATAACCGCTGCTCTGGCAATTATATATTTTTTGAAGTTTACTTATTTATTTTGAGAGAGTGCATGCAAGTGGGGGAGGGGGAGGGAAAGAAAACATGAGAGAGACTGAGAATCCCAAGCAAGCTCAGGTGCTGTCAGCACAGTGACTGACTTGGGGCTCAAACCTGACCCGAAACCAAGAACTGGATGCTTAATCAACTGAGCCACCTAGGCACCCCTATTCTAGCAGAAATTTATACTTATTAATAAAATGTTTATTTACATACCTCTTAAAATGTTGATTTGAAATGCACCTAGCATCAGACTCTGCCACTATCTACCTTCTCTTATGGTGAGCTTTTACCATCACTCCCATTCTCTGAAAAATTGAGAACCTAGCCCGACATCAATGTCAGATGATTTCAGTAGTCAGGCAAATGACGCACACAAACCTTGGGGCCTCTCCCCCAATTTCTTGCTCACATTCTGGGATCTTTGCCTCAACCCCATGTCAGCCCTTCACTCCAGGCCCATCCCCTAGAGCTGCCCTTACCTTTACTTCACCCCTTCAGAACCGGAATTTCAGACTTAGCATTTTCTAACTCTCACGTCCTGTCTCCCAGCACACTCCCACTGGTTTCCTCTCCCTGACAAGTTCCTGATGCCATCGGACGTCCATGCTATTGACCTCACCACCTTTTCACCCTTCATCGATAGCCTACACCTGATTTCATTAACACAGGCCCTCCATTATAATCACTGCTTGCAGATGAACTCAATTCCCTCTCCTCCCTCTCTTTCCATTTACTTGCTTGGAAAAAAACCTCAAAACCAAAAAACAACTACCCTTGATGAAGTTCAATTTTCTGCCTACTTTACATCTTGACCCATGCAGCTGGAACCAATGTCTTCTACAGTTCATGACCATTTTCTTCCGGTGGGGTGCCCAGTAATGTCTTTGAAGGGACTCTCACATCTTTCTCCTCACATCTCAGACACTCCCTCTTCTGTCCCAACTCTTAGCTAATATCCTTTCTCACCATTTCATTGAGAAAATAGGCACAATAAGAAGATGCACACTGTCCCAACACCACGCCTATCAACCTACCTGCATTTCTATCCTTATAGCCTGGCTAATGGTTCTGCTTCTAATTAAGGACAACCTTCTATCCCCTCAGGCTTCCTCAAGGATATCATTCCTGCCGGTGTCCTTTCTCTTTTCTGTATATTGACTCTATCTCCACATTGGATCATTCTCATCAGCATTACCTGCTGTCGAAAGAAAGGAAGAAAGAAAGAAAGAAAGAAAGAAAGAAAGAAAGAAAGAAAGAAAGAAAGAAAGAAAGAAAGAAAGAAAGAAAGAAAGAAAGAAAGAAAGAAAGAAAGAAAGAAAGAAAGAAAGAAAGAAAGAAAGAAAGAAAGAAAGAAAGAAAGAAAGAAAGAAAGAAAGAAAGAAGAAGGAAGGAAAGAAAGAAAGAAAGAAAGAAAGAAAGAAAGAAAGAAAGAGAAGAAAGAAAGAAAAAGGAAAGAAAAACTCTTACTTGACTCTAAAAGAATTGGCTATATTCTCTGTCCTTCTCTTTTAAAGTTGGACATGAAGGGCATCTGGGTAGCTCAGTCGGTTAAGCGTCCAACTCTAGGTTTTGGTTCAGGTCATGGTCTCATGGTCTTGTGAGTTCAAGCCCCATGTCGAGCTCCGCGCTGATAATGCTGCTGACAGTGCAGAATCTGCTTGGTATTCTCCATCTCCCTCTCTCTCTGCCCCTCCCCCAGGTGTGCTGTCTCTGTCTCTCTCAAAAGTAAAAAAACTTAAAAAAAATTTTTTTTAAGTTGGATGTGAAATATTTAATATGTGTAAAACCATGTGTGATTAAGACATTTCAAAATAAACTCAATGTACCAAGAATTTGTCCCTGTGATGAGTTAATGATTAATATAAAAAAAGACAATATATAAGAAATGCCACCCTTCTCCCTGGAAAATATATTTACATGTTATATTTTTAACCACAGATAACAAATATTAATTTAAATGGACAACATTATTCTTTTATTTATTGGGGGACCATAAATTTGAGGAGAACAATGTCAATGCTCTCTCTGAATGCAGAGCCCCCACTTGGAAAATGGTGCCCCCCAGTATTATCCTGCAGGTCTAGGTGAGCAGTAGGTTGTTCAGTGTCATGATGGCAGGGACTATCTTACATCTAGCAATTGTCTTGTATGACATATGTGACATTTAGCACACTGTTTTGACATACTATCATACCTCTCTCTCAGGGTCTGAAGAGGATAAGGCAGGTCCTAAAATAGGGAAAGATAAAAGACAGTGAATTAGAAAGGACAAATCCCCAACTTGCCTTTTTTTTTTCCCAAAGAGGCAGGGAAAGGA